TTTTTTTTTTTTTTTTTTTTTTTTTTTTTTTTTTTGGAGTAATGAAAATTACATATTTTAACGGTAAATCTCAAAGCTTCTTAAATTAAGATCTACTATTTATTTACAATTTAAATTATCAATTAAATTAAAAAATGCAAACTTATTAGTGTCAAAATTAAATTTAATAATAGCATAAAAACGCTAGTATATAAATAAGGTTAGGTGTATTTTCCTGGTAACTACTAACACGGTGCTGATTGTAATAGTTATAAATGATGTGATTAGAGTTGTTCATATGGAAACATGTGAGTGAGATATCATCATATATGGTGAGTTTATATAAAAAATTGACCAGAAGATATTTTCTCTTTTTATAAAATTTTTAAGAAGATAAATATTTTTTATATTATCATATGCGACAATTTTTAAGAAGATAAATATTTTTTATATTATCATATGCGACTCGATTTTAATTTTGATTGAGTCGTGAACTCCCGTTTGTGAGGCATGTTCTCTATTTTACATGAGGACTTACGTAGTCCCATTCAATAGGCCTACCATTTTGGAACAGTATTGAATAAGAAGCGAAGGAACATGAGGTTAATAAGATGGTAGATAAACGAAGTATATTCACGATTGAGTCCTAAATACAAGATACAATGGCAAAACACGATATAATTGCATCATATTGCAAATGATCCACTTGCATGTAGCGATTATATCTATACACATAACTTGTCATACAGTACATATGAATAAAATTTTAAGTTAATAGAGTGATTTTAAGTGAATGAATGAATTGTTTTACACAATAAACACTCCCTCGTCACCAACATTTTTAGATATGTATCATCAATCAAGAGACGAAAAGTTCATATCTCTATCCTTACACTCAATCTAAGCTTAACTCAACTAATAATAGATTCGTTACCGTCACTTGACACGAAACAAAGAAAATAGATCCCATGTATAATGATATAAATGAATTGATATCTACAATGGATCATTAAAAGCCTAAAAAGCTTTTACACGGCCGTCAATGAACACGTCAACCAAAAGACTAAAAGTTTATATCTCTATACTCAATCTGAACTTCGCTCGACTAATAAAAAATTCACCATGGTCACTAGATATAAAGCAACGAAAACCGGTTCTATATATAATGATATAATGAATCGATCATTAAAAGCCTACAAAGCTTTTACGCTGGCAGCCAATAACGCACCCTCGTCGCTTTCAATTCGAGACACCAAAGTTTTCTCCCATAATATCAACCAACGCAATCTTCAACAACCCGTTTGCTGAAAGTATCCTTTTGGCTTAACCAAGCTTACAACAGAGAGATTCTGACGGATTCAACCCGGCTTCGATCATCTCTTTAAGTAAACATTTCGCCTCGGTCGACTTCCCTTCGTTGTAGAGAACCTCAATGGTAGATTTGTAACTAGTCAGACTTGGAGTTAATCCTTTGTTAACCATCTCTTGAAGAAACTTCAAAGCCTTGTAAGAATTGCACTCTTTGCAGTACCCATTTATCATTATATTGTAGATAACATCATTAGGCTCCACATTCATCTCTACCATTGAGTTGTAGAGTTTTGATGCCTCTACCATATTACCTTTCATACACAAACCATGCATTAGGACACCATACGTATGTTGATCCGGGACCGAACCGACTTTCTTCATGAGATGAAACAACTGAGAAGCTTTCTCGACATCATCGGATCGGACAAAGGCATCCATTAGAATCGTATACGTCACTTTCGAGGGAGAAACGCCTCGATCCTCCATCTCTCTAACCAACTCTGAAACTACAGAAGAATTCCCTGCTTTAGAGAAACCTGCAATTAAAATGTTGTAGCTCACTGAAGTTGGAGCCAAACCAATCAACTTCAGCTCATCAAAATAACCTAAGGCCTTCTCCAACTTTCCAATATTACAGAACCCATCCATCAACAGATTATATGTTCTAGTAGTTGGGTTTATTCGAACCTGTTTCATTCGTTCAAACAGCCGTTCAGCTTTCGTCAATTGTCTCTTACGACATAACCCACCAATTAGAATAGTGTACGTGACTACGTTGCACGACACCCCACTTGTCGACATTTCGTCGAACACCTTAAAGGCAATACTCAACTTCCCATCCCTACAATACTCATTAATCAGAGTGTTGTAAGTATACAGACTAGGAAGCACCCCAACAAGCTTCATCTTCTCAAAAAGCTCAAAACCATCCTTCTTATATCCTTTCTTGAAAAATCCATTGATCATGGCAGTGTAAGTGTATTGATTAGCAACCAAACCAAGGTCATTCATCTTAGAAAACAATACTTTAGCCTGTTCAATGTCACCATTTTTGCAACAGGCATCAATCAAGATAGTGTATATAACGACATTAGGAGACAAGCCTATCCTCTCCATTTGAGCCAAAAGCTCGAAACCTTTACTTACATTGCCGTTTTTGCAAAAGGCCTTAATCGTAATCCCGAAACTATACTCATCAAAGTGAGTTCTCCCCAAAAATTCAGTGAAAAACCACCAAGTTTTATGCAAATCGCCTGATTTTGCAAGTAAACCCAGTACATTATTGAAAGAGATTGCACTCGGACAATGCCCTTGAAGGATCATTAGTTTAAAACTGTTGAGGGATTGTTCTAATTGTTGAGATTGAAGAGAAGCACTGGTAATTGCTTCATGAGAATTCAAATTCGGCTGTGTTGAATAGGTTAAAATGGAAGAAATAGTGAGGAACGACGAGGTGATCCGATTAGAAAGAAATGAGTGCACGAAGGCAATGGATTTGGGCACCATAAATGCGAGACTAAATCAGAACTAAGAATTATGAACAAGAGATAAACAACAACTATTGAAGAGAAAAGGCAACGTTATCGAAATTATCAACCAGAGGAATCAGTGGATCTTCCGTAACAATAACGATGAACTCGAGTTTAAAATCAGAAGTGTTGATTCTAGAAATTTGAAGGCTCCGTCGCCGATTACTACCAAGAATAGGAGAAAAAATCTCACCATTTCAACTAGGAGATTGCTGCTTCGGAATTTCTTGTTTCGGTAAATCCGATTCCATCCATCCAGCTCTGTTATCTCTCTCTCAGAAGCAAAACCCTAAATCACATTCATTTGCAGCTAAATTTGCACGAAACACATCTGAAATGGTGCCCTAGAAGGGGAATTCAAGGGAGGAAAATATAAGATTCAAGCTGAGAGAAGGAAGGAAGAGAATTTCTCGTAAACAAAATGGAGAGCAAAGATCAGAGCAGAGACATCTTAATCTAATGATTTCAAATTTTATACTCCACAAAATATGCATTAGGACCACATCTTGTACTATAGTGTGTATATATATATATATATTTTGACCGAGAACTCATACATTTAGGCATGTCATGTCATCTGCATCGGAATACTTTTTTGTTATTTATTATGTTATGTTAATACAGACCATACCTTCGATATTTATGTTCAACATGATATCATGCAGGCCTTTTCAGCAACACGTTTAACCCAAACAAACCAGGTCTGAGAGTCCGTATACGAGCTCGCCTGGTGGGTCCATGCGCACGTGCGTGAGCCACGTGTAGGGAAGTACCATACATCCAACCCTCCTCGGGTTGAAAAGAGCTCAAAGTCATGTTATTTTAAAAACAAGTCTCATCAGGCATGTTTGCATTACCTAACCCCAACAGTGGAATCATTGCCAATTCCTAAGCTACTCGTACATTTCAAGTAAAGACAAAGCACCCACCCCTATACAGATGATAGAGGGGACGTGTGAATACCAAACAACCGATATTAAGGTAATTACGTTTCATCTTATTCATCAGTCTTAGGTTAGATTAAGACAATAGATTGCTGTCTAGTTTTTGGACATATTCTTTATTTTTGTTTATTATATGTTTTTTGAATAATTCAAAGATTTTATTTTTAACATGTAAGTCCATGAAATCGTTTATGAACTATTTAAATTGAACGTTTTCGCATAAAATGGTAACGTCATGCATATGGTAGTAGCTCTATTTCAATACATAAATAGGGTCGTTACACACGTCTTGTGAATATCTGCAAGACTCAAAACTAAAGTAATTTAGTTCGAAAACATGTGTGTACGAACAAAAATAAATTAATAATAATAATAATAATTTTCCATCGTCACGTGCATTTCACTAATATGATTAAAGAATTCTCGATATTAAAAACGTGACATTATTAACGTTTTTTAAATAATAACACAAAAACAATATAAATGATTGGTTGAAATAAGGTTAATTAGTTGATAAATGAAGTATAACAACCTCCCATTTCACATAATAAAAACCCTAAAACAAGTTTTAAATTAGATAAACCCTAAACCAAACTATATTTCTTCTATACCCATTCTCTCTTTAATTTATCTAAAATGTATTATTATTTATTTATTATTATTATTATTATTATTATTATTATAATTTATTAATAAGAGATGTTCCTTTCAGAAAGTTGATGCACAGCTTCTTCCATGCCTCTCTGTTTGGCTCTCCCTCTTCCACTTTGGCCTTCAACTCCATCCCATATGTTTCCTATACAAACCAGTTTCAAGTTAGGTCGGATCGGGTTACCATAAACAACCCGAGTTTAACCCAACCGAACCATAAAATATTAAGGTCGGGTTGTTTGAGTTATTTAGAACAAGTAATTACGAAACTAAATAGAATTAAAATAAATTCTAAACGCCCAAGCCTGCCGCTGTCAAATATTGTTCACTTTTGCTCGTTACGTATTACCGTTAAGTCTCACGGTTTTAAAAAAACGTTTGCTGGGGAGAGATTTTCATGCCCTTATAAATAATGTTTAGTTCCCCTCTCCAACTGATATGGGTTCTCGAACGTATTTTAAAAACATGAGACTTATGGCAATACATAACGAGTCAAATCAAACAATATTTGTTAGTGGTGAGCTTTGATTGTTACATAAATAATATATATAATATTTACATTAGATTTACGCTTACGCACGTTGAATGATTCTAGAGAATCTATGATCTAACTTAACCTATAAAATTATTTGAGCAGTGAAAATTTTGATAGATAATTCTTAAACTCAGGAGACGTATCGACTCGTTAGGTACGATTCTCGAATTTTATACTAACCTCGTCGTTATCTAACCTAGTATTTGGAATAATAACACGTGTCAAACATCCGTAAATCTATAAGATCGATAACAAAACAATCGGACGGTGAGGAGCATACCATGATGAAATTACGTTGAACGAGACGGTCAATGAGGTGGAAAAGAATGTCCATGGTGTACTCGGGATGCCCTTGGATGCCCATCATGTGGTCCCCATACTTGAATATTTCGATTCCAGTCTTTTCTGACCATCCGATCACTTCCGCCTTTGATGGAAGTTCCTGGACCTACACAATATACCATACATCGCATCGTACCAGATTATTAGGTTGAGGAATTTTACTGTACGCGCGAGCTTATTAAACAAACGGAAGTACCTCATCTCGATGGCATTCGATCACCGATAGCATTGATGGGATCTTTAGAGATGAGAAGACTTTTGATGATGGCGACACGTGTATGGTCGTGATTCCAATGTCCCACCCTGAGAGGGCCCTACCCGTCTTTCCTCCCAATGCACGGCACAAAACCTAGACACGTCATCAACTCTTGTAAAGTGAAGGAATTTGCACAAATAGCACCAAATACAAAATTTAAAATTATTTAATCATAATTATTAAAATTAAAAAAAAAAAAACCCAATTATTATTTTAAAAGTCAATAGTTCGATATTTGACTCTCGAGCGATCAACAAGTTAAAACGACTCAATCAGCTAAACTAAGTTCGAATATATTAAAAAATGGTATCTTAAATATTAAATAAATACATTATATTTAATCGTCATATACCAATATGAGCATAACTTAACTGAAATATTCGACCAAGATTTAAAAAATGAATCACGACACGTCTCATAATAACATCAAATATGCATGAAAAAAAACATATAAATTTTTTTTATAATATTGTGTAATGCTACTTTTTGTGTTTATATTATTGACGTGACAATCAATTATAATATCATATATATATATATATATTCACGTGATATTAGAAAATCGGTTATTTTGTACTCGTAACATATCGGATCCGCCACGTCATGACAGCTAATTTCCACCTAGTTTTGTCTTTTGGGAAAAATCATTCTTGCCGCCACGTAGTTTATTGGATCAATTTTTATTTAATTAAAAAAAAATGAACTATTGTAAAAAGGAAATAAAAAATATATTCTAAAATAATAAAATCATTCATTTCAAAATAATGAATGTTTAACATTAAAAATATTAAAAAATAACGACCATTGCCACCTCACCACCTAGCGAACGCTAATATTTTAAATAAAAATTTAAAATTATTAGAATATAATATCTAATAGTCGTATTTTATAGTAATTTAGATATAAATTTCAGTATATTTAAAAAAAACTCGATAAGGAATAATAAATTAGGCATCAAAGCAATATATAAATTTAATTTTTGAAAACTTTATTGATAAAATAAAAAAAAATAAAAAAAAAGTGGGTTTTAAATAATTATTGTAGACCGTATAGACTTGCACTACTTGAGACAATCAAATAATTAAATAATTTATTTATTTATTTATTTAATTGGTCAATATTTTGGGTTTACCATTGTGCATGTAATGTGTGCAAAAAAGCTTCACCAAACCCTCATTGGGAAAATGACCCATTATCCACCACATGTTCTTGTCCAATCATTTTTTTTTCTTTTTAATTATTTGCATATATATATATATAATAATTTAAAATTAAACTTATTATTATATGATTTAAATAGTAAATTATTTTAAAAATAAGTGTATAGTAAAATAATAATTAAAAAAATGTTGAGACAGATTAATTGTTTAAAATTTTATATAATTTAAATTATTTGTAAAGCTTAGAACAAATAATTATAAAAAAAATTGAATAAATTAAGATATTAAAAGAAAATAAATAGTATTTTGATATAAGATATTAAAAGGCAATTTTAGATAAATATAGAAATAGTCAATTTTACCTAACAAAGTTGAAATTGTTGAAGATTCTATGGTAATTACTTTTGACCATGGTAAAAACAAATTCAAGCCTCGACTTTTTTATCTACTATTTTTTTAAATAAAATGATTTTACTCTATAATTTAAAATATATATTTTTTAAAAAAATATCAATAATTATGCCATTTTCTAAGATATATATATTAGAAAATGGCATAATATAAAATACAATTTTATGTATATGAGAAATATTCAAATTAATAGAATAAAATAATTACATAATATAAAATACAGTAACAAAAAGGAATACATAATATTTTATTTTATTTTTTAAAAAATTGTTTTATATATTAAAAATGTATGGAAAACAAAATATTTTAGAATATCAAGAATTTAATTACACGCGAGAATCCAAGATTCCGTTTTGGAAAAAATAAGAGACACGTGGGTAATCGTCAGCCGTTCATCACCACGCGCCCACAATATTCCTTCCGTTGTGATTTCTGCCCAATAATACGTGGGCAGAAATAAGGACCCAAAAAAAAGCCGAAAAATAATATATTTTTTTTGTAATTTTATTTTATTTTAATTGAAATTCAATTTTAAATGCCTAACAAAAATAATAATAAATAAATAAATAAACAAACTTATCCTTCTTTAATTACCTCATTAGTTTTAACTTTGAATGTTTTTTTTTTTAAATTTAAATTTAAATCATACATTCCAATAAAGAGTGGAATTAATACCATTATTTAATTTATTTTAAAATTTTTACCGTGTACGGGAGGAACAAACGGCATAATCCTAAAATAAAATAAAATAAAATAAATCAAAACCGATTTCAATTTTAATTAAAAAAAAAAAAGAATTATCATTTATTATTTCATTAAATTATTATTTATTAGAGAAATTAAAATTAGTTTCCAGAAATACATTTTAATTTATCGAAAATAAAAATTAAATATATATTGACGAACCTGGTGGCCGAAGCAAATCCCGAGCACTTTTTTCTTCAAGCCGTTCAACTTCTTCAACAAAAGAAGAAGCTGGCAGATCCAAGGATCGTCGGAATGGGCGTCGCTGCAGCTGCCGGAGACGACGAATCCGTCGTAGAGTCCGATATCGCCGTCGTTCGGGAAGTGGCCGGCGGCGACTCTGTAAGAGTCCCAAATCTCCCCTTCTTCGCCCAACATTCTCAGGAAAACCCCAAAATACCCTCCGTAT